TAAGTACCTGTGTCTCACTTTCTTTATGGAGTTAAATTATTTGCAGTGAATAAGATGTATAATCCACTTTATCAACTATTGGTTCATGCATTGCAAATGAGTTAGCAATTCATGGAGAAGGGACTGTTGAACAGTTATGTGTGTGCATACACTGTATAACAGGATGAGTCATGGTTTACAAGGGTTACCACAGTGGGTAGGCATTCTCTACTCCTAGTAAAGCTGGGTCTCAAATAATAATATGGAGATACAACACTACATCCATACTTTTGTGTTGGACACTTCTGAAACAAAGAACACAGCAGCACTAGAGTGAGTGCAGTAATAAATGTACTGTTTTGCATTATACATACTAAAACACTGACATATAGTACTCCTATCCACCCATGTTTATGTTTGGTGATAAAGAGTGAGAGGGACAATTAGGTTTTCTGCTGGTAATTGTAGACATTAGCTGGTAATTCAGGTAAGTTGCAGTTTTGCTATTGTGCTCTGTGACTGACAAAATTCTGCTGTAAATGAGTGAATCACATATATCTGTCAGTGCAATCATTAAAACAATAAACAGTATTATTGGGTTGCCCTGTAGGATGGTAAATCTACTTCCTTTACTGACTGACATGGGAGCTAAGATCAGTAGAAGACAGGAAAGTTAAATCTTGGTCTTGCAAACACTTGTGCTCAGCTTTAAGGTTGTTTACCTTTGTTGCTGTTAATGGCACTCCTCAAGGGCTTAGAGATGAGTTGATTTTAAAAGCTTGCAGGTCTGTAGGCTAATAGCATCCTAGAAGAAAAAAAACAGTATCCCAAAATGTGCAGTATTAATTCAACAAATGTATTTAAGTTTAATTATTTATAACATTTCAGAGCATATTAGTAATTGTTGTGTAATGTAATCATAATAGTAATGAAGTCTGATTAATTCAAGATCTAATTACATCATCTTGCTATTAAGTTGTGCTTAGAAGTAGAAGAGAAAGCACCAATGTAGGTTCAAACAACAAAATATGATTCAGCAAAAGATGCCAGTTGCACTAGATTTCTAAAACTTTCAGGAATATTGAGTAGTAAATATCTCTGCTTGTCTTAATAGATGGGATTATTTAGGTTAAATATGTAACTTGGAGGCTTGGTTTACTCACAGTATATGTGGTAAGAGAAGCAGAATGTCCTGCAATTTGTATTTATTGTATACAGAACCCCCACAAAACCCTCCCAAACCTGCTCTCCATCCCTTTATTCATGAAAGAGGCTTTTCTACCTTGCAGGGACCAGGTTGGAACAACAGGAACGAGACCTGGCATATACACGGTGTGGTGGGATTGCTTATCACAACCGTTGAGCCTAGTGCTGGAACCAGCTGTGGTTTGGCAGGCATGCTGACGGTGAGTCCAAAGGGTGTATCTTGACTGGCCTGGGTGATGAGCACCATGAAGAAAAGATCTCTGTCACAGCAAGCAAAGGCCAAACTCCCAAGGAGACATCAGTCTTCCTACCAAAGTACAGTGGTGAAAAAGGCTCTTATGGCTCGTGGGCAGCTGTGTCTGCGATAGCTTCCCCTGCTTGTCTTGTATTGCCTACTTTGTGGTACTGTACTTTACCTCCTCCCTAGTGCTGCCATGGAGAGATCACCAACATGTAACCCTTATAAATGGATCGATAGACCAAAAAGGATGATCATTTGGAAGATAAGACCTCCCTAGCTCATTGCCAATTATTTTATGATAGTTCTGATTAATGATTCCATTTTAGCCATTTCAGTGCTCAACAGTCTTCATTTGTTAGTGTTGATTATGGAAGTCCATGCCTTGCCTGAGTCTGAGTTATTCTGACCAACAAATGTGAATTAAAATCAATAGAAATGTCATTAGCATCCCGATACCAGGAAAGATAAAATGAACAATTCTCATGTGTTTGGTTTATTAAAATTTGCTAAAGTGTGAAATATGTATGACAAGTAATGATGTTTTAATCTTTTGCCAAGGTAACAATTGAAAGCTGATTGATTCCATTCAGTAATTATAAAATCAAAATGATGGAAGATTGTAATCAAGAAGGATTCTGTCTCATACTTCGTCATACCTCCATGCAAGATAAAATTCTTATCTGTAACATCTCTTTTATCTGAAAATAAATCAAACTCCAATTTGCCCAGTTTAAATGTCATGGCAAGCTGTATAATAAACTCCTTTTCTTTTTTAAATTCTGATGAGAATATAAAAGCACTCACCAAAGCTGTCATCTTTTCCAGGAGAATGCTGTGGCAGACAGTATCAAAGGCTTTACTGAAGTCCAGGTAGACTACATCCACAGCCTTTCCCTCATCTACCAGGTTGGTCATGTGGTCATAAATGGAAATCAGGTTGGTCAGGCAGGACCTGTCTTTCACAAACCCATGCTGGCTGGACCTGTTCCCTTGGTTGTCCTGTATGTGCCATGTGATACCACTCCAGATGGTCTGTTCCATAACCTTCCTTGGCACCACGGTCAGGTCAAAAGGCCTATACTTCCCCAGATCCTCCTTCTGACCCTCCCTGTGGATGGGTGTCACATTGGCCATCCTCCAGCTATCTGGGACCTCCCTGGTTAACCAGGAGAGTGGCTTGGCAAGCTCTTCTGCAAGCTCTCTCAGTACCCTTAGATGAATCCCATCTGGTGCCATAGGCTTGTGAGTGTCTCAATGACTCAGTGGATCACTAACTACCTCCTCCTGGATTTCAGGTCTGTTCTGCTCCCCATCCCTGCCTACCAGCTCAAGGGACTAGTTGTCCTGAGGATATTTGGTCTTTTTGTTAAAGACTGAGGCAAAGAAGGCATGAAGTACCTCAGCCTTTTCCTCATCCTTGGTGACAATGTTTCCCTCATGTCCAATAAAGGATGAAGATTTTCCTCAGACTTACTTCTGTTATTAATGTACTTATAAAAGAAACTTCTATTATCTTTCACAGCAGTAGCTAGATTGAGTTCTGCCTCTGAGCTTTCACCTTACTAATTTTCTCTCTATATGACCTAACAACTTCCTTGTACCCTTCCTGATTTACCTGCCCTTTCTTCCAAAGGTCTCTTTTTCTCTCTTTTTTCTCCCTAAGTTCTTACAAAAGCTCCCTGTTCAACCAGACTAGTCTTCTTCTCCGATGCCTTTTCTTCTGGTACAAAGGGATGACCTGCTCTTGTGTCTTTAAGATTTCCTTCTTGAAGTGTGTCCTTCCTGGGCCCCTTTGTTATTAACGACTGTTTACAAGGGGACTCTCTGAGCCAGTGTCCTGAACAGGTCAAAGTCCGTCCTCTGGAATTCCAAGATAGATGATTTGTTAACCCCCTTCCTTACTTCACCAAGAATTGAAAACTCCGTAATTTCATGATCACTGTGCCCAAGGTGTCCTCTGACCATCATATATGCCACTGGGCCTTCTTTGTTTGTAAAGTGCAGGTCTATTAGGGCACTTCCCGTAGTAGGCTCACTTACCATCTGTGTCAGGAAGTTATCTTTCCCATGCTCCAGGAACTTCCTGGACTGCCTCTTCCCTGCTATGTAGAGTTTCCTGTTGGACATCTGGCAAGTTAAAGTCTCCCACAAGAACAAGAGCTAATAATCATGAAACATCAGTCAGCCACTCATAGAATACTCCATCTGCCTCCTCATCCTGGTTGGGTGGCCTATAACAGATGCCCACCAGGAGGTCTGCCTTGCCAGCCTTCACTCTGATTCTTACCCATAGGCACTCAACCTTATCATCACTGTCCTGGAGCTCTGTACAGTTCAAAACACTCCCTAATGCACAGAGCCATCCCACCACCTCTCCTTCCTTTCCCGTTCCTCCCGAAGAGCTTGTAACCATCATTGCAGCACTCCACTCATGAGAGTCATCCCAGCATGTTTCTGTGATGGCAACTACGTCATGGCTTTTCTGCAGCACAATGGCTTCCTCCTGTTTGTTACCTATGCTGCGTGCATTGGTGTAAATGCACTTCAGCTGGGCTATTGATTTCACCCCCAACACTGGCATGGCTACCCTAGACTCATCTCTGCTAAGCATGGTCTTATCACCTTCCCACTTCAGATCTAGTTTAAAGCCCTCTCAATCGGCCCTGCCAACTCAGAGGCTGGAATCTTTTCCCCCACTTTTAGACAGACGAGCCCCATCTGTCTTCAGCAGGCTTCGTGCCGTATAAACAACCCAATGATCAAAAAAGCCAAAATTCCACCAATGGCACTGGTCTTTGAGCCACATATTGATCATGTGGGTTCTCCTGTCCTTTCGGCATTCTTCCCCGAATTGAGGAAAGCAACGCATGTGCTCCTGTCCTTACAACCAGTCATCTCAGTGCCCCAAAGTCCTTTGTGATTTCCCTAGAACTTCTCCCTTCAGCGTTGTCACTGCCAACCTGGACAACAGCAGTGAATAATAATCAGAGTGCTGAATCAATTCAGGGAGCTTTCTAGTAAAATCTTCTACTCAGGCCCCATGGAGGCATCGGACTTCTTTGTGGGATGGGTCCAGTTGGCACATAGGCACCTCAGTTCCCCTCAGAATGGAGTCACCTACAAAAAATCCTTTTATATGCCCAAGGGGGACATACCATTTAAAATTGAGTATTTCTTTGATTTCCTAATGACATAGCTAAAGAAAAGTCTGGCCCTTGGAGGAAGGAAATGTTAAATTATTTTCAACTGCAGCTTCTCACTGCAAACATTTTGTTTGATGCAGGTTAATGGCTAACTGCTAAGAAAGAGGACTTCTCTGTTTCAGTAGTCTAATGGGATTTTTGGCAACCTGCTTGTTAGAAGGATTATTTTCTTTAATAATATTGCTGTAGGAGTGCATCTTTAAGTATCCCGCTGTATTATTTTGACACAACCTTCATACCTTTCAAGGTTATAGTTTCTGGAATTCTTTTTCTCCTGATAAAAAGCAACGTTGCTGGGTGTGCTTTTTCTATCAAACCTTGATGGATGATCAGGAAAAAAAGCTGATATGTTCAATGGCTTGATAATTTCAGGGTCAAAACAGATTTTACTTGTTGATCTTTCACTTCCTGATGCATCTTTTTGACCAAGCAGCTGGTGTATAAGATCTAGCTGGCAGCACACAGAACACATTAGGAAAACAAAGAGAATGTGTGATTAAACTGAGAAGAGACAAGAATCGCATTTCCTCACTGTTCTGCATGAAGACAGAAGGTGCTCCGAGAGGATACAAACTCAGTTTTCATATTGGAACTATGGCCTCTTCCCCCCATCAGATTATTCAAAGGTAAATTTGCTTTTTACTCTCTCACAAAGACCATTTCCCCCTCCGTTATACTTATTTATTAGTAACATTATTTGTAAAATGCTAACTTCATTGGCTGCACTGTTATGATGTTATCTCCATGTGCTTCTGTGAGAATGTAACAATGTTATGAAGAAAAATAATGTAAAAATGATGTGGGTACATAAAATGAGATTGACAAAATGTAATAAATCACTGCTGGGCTGAAGTACAGAGCTGCATGTGTAATGAAATACTTCAGCATTACATCATCATTTATATAACATCTGGCAGAGCCTTGTATTTCAGTGCTGCTTTGAATCAGGATAATTTTTTCTCTCTGACGAAGGAGAAAAGCAACCCTTTAGGTTTTGTACATAGAAAACTGAAAAGAAAATAAAGGAAAAAAACAACCCTTAAAATACCCGTGAGAGTTTCCCTTGAAAATTTCTGTCATGCCCAACTTGTTGCAAATAATATGATGACTGAGATGCATACAAAAGAGAACATTTCAGAGGATTTTTTTTCAGTTTTATAAGAGAAACCTGTCTTTAATGTGAAGGAGATTTTTTGAGTTTGCATGGGTAATTTCCCAAATAAGAGGTTTTTCTAATTTACATCATTATGCATACCCTGGTACTAGACTTACAGAAAAAAAAAAAAGTGTGAATTTTATTTACTTGAGTGTTTTTAACAGGGATTATGTTTTTTCAAAGGAGAATTGAATTATCTTTAGTGTGGACTTCTGGTCCTGTCTCACGCAGACAGGTGGGTGCTACTTCAGTATGGACTCCTCCATCCCAGGCTGCCAGAGTGAATCTCCCTACCTGGTTCACCTGGGGTGCCAGGCAGGGCAACGTGATATGCCATTGGAGTGAGGATTAGTTGAAATGTGTTTAATTGGCTGTTTCAGTAAATGAAGTCAGGAATGTGAGTGTCTGCTGCAAGTCTCTGGATGACACACTGAATTCAGTAGAAGTCTTGCTATTAATTCCTAGCAGACTTGGCCCTTGCCTTGCACCTCTGGTCTCCGAAGCCCCAGCAGGAGGTCCTGGTGCTGTGACAGTGGTGCTGTGCAGGGTGCTGCAGGTATGCAGACTGGCAGCCCTCCTGGCTGCTGTAACGCTCTCCTTCCCCAGCTTTTGGTGGATGGCAGCTGCCCAAAATGCAGGACTGGGGCACTGGCAAGAACTTGATGTATCTAAAGATAGGCTTTTTGGTTTCTTATTTTCAGTACTACACTGTTCAAGGAGGAAATAGGACAGGTTGTCAAAGAGAAATCACTGTTTATTTAGTTTCTTTTCAGTTAATTTGATAGCATACCAGAGTTACTGTATGTACCAGGGTGAATTTATGCTGATACTTTTGGTCTGTGTTTGGCCCCGGCCACCTGCAGTAGTTTATATTCTCCCTGCCAAGTTCACTGATAAAACAGTGAATTTGTCCTTGGAGGGAGAACTTCTGTATAAACTGTTTTAATTGGTGTTCTGTGATTGGCTAATTGTCCTCCAAGGTCGCTTGAAGGAGAAAGTGATGAGGAGGGGAGGAAGGCTCGACCCCAACTCAATTAGAAAGGACCCCCAAAGCATACTGCGCGTGCGTGAGGGGATTTCTGAAGTTCTCATGCATGTGCAGAAGAGATGCACTTACATAACTGGGAGGTGGGGCTGAGGGCCTTGGGCTGGGCGGTGCTGGCCATACCTGGGAGGTTGTGGTCACTCGGTTAATTGTATAAAAGTAGATAGTGCTTTCTTGGAAGGCAGCTAACTTCACACCAAGGACAACATTACCTTTTGGCAGGGACGCCTGCCAGTTTGTGAACTTACTGACTCTCCAAGGATGCAGCTTCTGCTATGGGTGATTATAGGCATGCTAGGTCGGTAAGATAACTTTATAGGCAACAGCTGGGTAACTGGGAAGGTTGTGCTTGGGGCTTATTTCTCTCCTTCTTCCTCCTTTTTGTGTTTGTTTGTTTTGTTGTCCACCTCTTGGTAATAAATACTGGTTTTTGTTAAGCTTTTAACGGTGTCATGGTTTCAAGTTTCAGTATGTTTGAACCTCTTCCCTAATACACTGTATTTACTTTTCTCCCAGGGATTTTTATATGGTATATTTATCCAGCAGGGGACCTCACTGCCACTGTCCAAGCTTTGCTCGGCCCCGGCAGATGAACCTCAGGACTAAAGGGTGGGCTCAGTTCAGCGCACGCTGTGTCTCACCTAAAAAAAATCCACTGCGCAGGCTGGAAGGGTTAATGACCTTTCCCAAATCTTCGCTCGCGAAGACTGGCCATTATATTATAAAGGTCAGGTTGATACATGGAACTAGTTGTTATAGCCATTTTACTTCTCCTCTGTATTTTCTCAAGGTTGGTATAGAATGGTAGATCTTGATATGCTATTGAGTAAAATATGATATCTGAATTTGTTTTTTCATAGTGGAATTGGTAAGGGGGAGGGGACCAGTTCCAATACAGCAGTTACTAGAAACCTGATGAGGGGTAGGTGTCTGGAGTGCTTTTCTTTCTTTCTGAGCAATTGTTAGCGTTACTAAAAATATTGTTTCCATCATTTTTTAAACCAACAGTGACTTCTATTGATTTGGAGGAGAGAGATGCTGAAGAGCACGAATTTTGTTGCAAGTAGGACTGTGTAAAACTGGCAAAGGTAGAAAAGGGAGGCAATGGCATTATGATTGAAGTGTAAGTTTTGGAGTTGGGATGTCTTATGCCTATTTTTGATTTTCCTGCAGCTGACTTTTGGAAAAGAAATCACAATCAGGGGTGAAAGCTGGCCATGTGCAAGGCCACAGTAATTCTTATGGAAAGCAAAGGAAACAGTTTAGTTGGAAATCCCTCATTCCAGAATGTAAGGATTTTGGATAGAAGTATTTTTCCCTTACAAGGGTGTCATAGCAAAGTACCTATGACCTATGGGTTTCCAGGGGCAAAGAGAAGAAATTTTACATCTCAGAGACACGTCCACGACATTTCTGACCCTGGACATTGCAGGATTGGAAGCTGACGGTTGCATCAGAATGGTACTGGACGGGGTGGGATAAAGTTTGAGGACAAGCACTGGTAGAGGCTAAGATCATCTTGAGGTGAAAATTGATTTGTGATGATGCCATCTCAACCAACTCCCTCTCCTGTAAAGAAAGATTAATTACTGTGGCTTGAATGATGGGCCTTTGCAGTGAGATGATGTCTCCCCACAGGGCTTTCTGTGAGACACCAAATGAGACCTCCAGTGAGTTAAGTGGTTCCTTTGCATTTACAGTTTGCACCTGTTCCCCTCGTTCTGTGCAATGGCCACAATTTAAACAGGTTAATAGAAGACTAAATTATGTAAAGCTAATAAGGTTCTTTCAGCCCCCTGGGAAGGATCAAAAAAATATGAGCTGACAATGAAAGAGTATCTATGAGCATCAGTGAGAACTGGCTCTCAAGGAGAAAAGAAGAGTAATTTAGTAAAATTTTGTCTGAACGGAAGGTAATTTTTTTTAATCTCTGGTTGCTTTCATTCCTGCAACCCTGTCTGTGAGAAAACTTGAGTCCTCTCCTGGACTGAGAAGTCCAAGGAAAGGCAGGAAGCTTACTTTCTCTTCTGTACATAAACCCATTCCTCTACTAAGGGCACAGGGACAGTAACCAACCAGCCTTTGGCCATTGCTCAGCAAAGCTTTGAACAATCCTAATGAGTTAATTCACCACCTAGCAAATCTAGACCCAGCCGGTGTAACAGATAAAGGAGCAGTAATGGTCACAGGGAATGAATTTTTTATGGGGATGCATAATAGTGTCATTTCAGATTTGTTTCTTTTCACTTCTTGACAGCTGTGTAGCTTTACACAGATGTATGTATGGATAATTTTGCCCATCATTTCTACACCAGAAAGTTGCACTTATTTTCCAGATCTATTTAATTCAGCCAAGCAATATTCAATTACCTATTTGAACAGGAGATTGTGGGCAAACAAGACTGCGGAAGAATTGATTGGTAAAATCACAACTGACTGTGGAAAGGTGCCTCCATCAGACTCCGCTCCCTGTTTCTCTTCCTCCCAATCTTGTGAAACTGTAGGGACAGGGTAAAGCAGAAGGGAGGCAAATCCTTCATCTCCTACCCTGGCCTGTGCCCATGCTTCCTGTTCCCACTAGAGTGATACTGTTTGGCAGGACTCTTCTGGCAGAGGTATTAAAGTGAATAGATTTCTTTGTCAGTTGCTAGACTGAGGATTACCACCAGCACACCAAGTCAGGTATGTGCAAGATGTTCAAAGAATTTCTGCTGCCTAAGGTTGTTCCTGCCTTGTTTCTTCCCCGTACTGGTTACTCACAGCAGCCTCTACTAAAACTGTTCCTGAATTTTCTTACATTGTGTTTTGTTTCCTTTGAGCTGGTGGTGTTCAGCTGATACATGCCAAGTTATTCCTAATTTATTGCAGATGAGGTCAGAATCAGATCATTATTGAAAACAGTAAGTTTGTGATATATAGTTTGGGTATTTTTTCACTTTGCTCTCTGCTATTTGATGGTTTGCTTCCAATGTTCCTTCCTGCTAACTTCCAATAGAGGTTTCTTTCTTTATAAACAACTGGATTGATTTCCAGTACGGACTTTTACTTCCTGCAAAACATATCTTCTCAGGGGAAATTGACACGTTTCTCTGTGTATATTTTCTTATTTGCATTTACTTGGAGGGGTTTGAAACCCGGAGACAAGATTTATGTCAACAAATGCCTCTCCCTCTTATCCAATTTAGTTGTTTTAACATAATGCAATCATTTTCTAAATCAAACTGATGGAGCGCTTCCTAAAGGCATTACACCAACAGTATATCTGAAATCATATTTGCCTTTTTTATTGCATTAGCACCAGACTTGAACCTTTCAAATTTGCATTGTGCTTTGCAGAAGTTCTCAGGATCTTTGACGCATGTATAGCTGGATTCTGGTGTGGTTTAAACAGAGATCAGAAAGTGAATTATAGAGCAAAGCATGTG